AAGGAAGGAAGGAAGGAAGGAAGGAAGGAAGGAAGGAAGGAAGGAAGGAAGGAAGAAAGGAAGGAAGAAAGGAAGGAAGGAAGTCAATCCCGGGAACCTGCCTGCAGGTTTGACTGCCTGGCTGGCTGACCTCGGGCACGTGCACATTTGTGAGGTAAAAGGTTACTGCCCCATCAGCCTCCTCCAGTGGCTGTAAAAATCCAATTAGGCCACTGAGTCCCATAACCTCAGAGCTGGAAGGCACCCTGGGGAACATCTAGTCCATCCTTCCAGGCCCTGGCTGTAAGGATTGGAGCCCAGAGCGGGGAAGCAGCCTGCCTTTGGTCCCACAGCAAAGAGCTGCAGAGCTGGGCTAAATCACACCCTCTTCGGTAAATGCTCTCTGCAATGTCTTAGACAATGGTGAAGCACAAGGATCGTGTCCTTGAAAGTCCTCAAACAGTAGTAATAATAAAGAAAATCAGTCCATTACGTTCTCTATAAGCCTTTACCCCTGAAAAATGGTCCTGGGCAAATGACTGCTGTGATGATTAACGGTAATAATTCTATTCTCAGCGAGTTCTGTGGTCATCAGCACAAAGCCCTGTCCCACCCAGCTGGGACCTGGAGGAGCTGTGTTCAAACCCAGGTCTGACCTCAGACAAGGGACATCCCTGCCGGAGCCTCACTCCTCCCATCTCTGAAATGGGAATGACAGCATCACCTCTCGAAGGGCTGCTATGGATGGTGGGAAACAATGGTGCCTGGCACAGAGCCGGCCCAGAAAGCAGCGGTCTGACCTTGTGGTGTCTTACTCAGGGGCTCCTGGTGCCCAGCACCCTGTCCCCAGACCTGCACCCCTCTCCCCCGGAAACGGGTGTTTCTCATTTGAAGAAACTGGGCCTTGCCGTTTTCACTGCCGCCTGGGGCTTTGGGCCACGCTGCATTCGGAGCACTCTGAGGCAGCTCCGCGGGCCTGCACTTGGGCCCCAGGGGTGAAGGGGGCTGCCTTCGGGGAGCCAGTACCCAGAAGCAAGGGGTGGTGCTCCTGGTAGTACTGGTGCAGCGCCCGTAGGACCGTCTCCTCCCGGCAGATGGGCTTCAGTTTGGGGGCAGTGGCCACCGCGTGGCAGAACTCCTTCTGCTGGTCCTTGTAGCGCTGTGTTTTCTCCCGGAAGGCCTGCAGGCAGCGGGACATGTGGTCCTCGCTGGAGGTGCCCTCGCAGCTCAGGTAGGGGACGAAGCCTGCGGGAGGGGAGGGGAGCAAGTCTTCAGCTAGCACGGCCTAGACTCTCGGCCCAGAGCTTGCCATGTCTTCCTGGGCCCAGGGCGCTGCATTTTCCTAAAGGCCATTCAGACAAACTGGGCTGCTGTTTCCACTGCGGCTGGGCCCTCTCACGGCCACAAAAACAATGACCTTGACTCCGGGGAGGGAAGGCCCCTTTCCACGCAGGCGATGACAGTCAGAGTCTCTGCTAGCAAAGAACCCTGAGGTGAGGCTGGACGGTGAATGGGGAAAGCATGTCATGGGCCGAAATGAAGTCTGAGGAGCAACTGAAATCACTTTTTGTTTTTAGGGAGAAAGCTTATTTTCCTTGACGCTTCCCAAATGCAACTGGGGATCTTCCTTGGCCGACCACTGGGAAATTGCGGGCTTATTAAAAGCACAGACCTATTACACAAAAAGGTAAACTCGTTATCGCTGAGACCCAGCCCAGAACAATTTTTCACCATGTCCCACAAAACAACAGAGAATCATTACAGTTAGTATGGGCAAAACACAGCTACGTATTTACACTGGATGCTGAAATCCTAAGTACTATAATACTGCCGCGTCTACGGCCATACCACCCTGAACGTGCCTGATCTCGTCTGATCTCGGAATACTGTCACAATGAAACCACATTAAAAAATAAAAAAAGGACAAACGAGGAAAAACTGGGTAAAAGCTAGGTTTTAAGCTGCCAAATAAATAAATGAACCCTTCTGATTGAAGCCCAATCTTTTTGCCTGGTCCCCAAGTCAAGAAAACCTGCCTTCATAGTGGAAAGCAAAAACCCCCACCCCTGGCCACCTCAAAGAAGAATCTAATTACTAGACTGACCTTGAAGTCCTCCAAGGTCAGTCTCCCCAACCCTTGGGCAATTAGCACATACCCTGATGTCAGGGGGAGACTGGAGAAAGCCAGGGACCTTGCCACTGTGCCTTCTCCTCCAACAGGGCCACTTGGATTGGTGTAGATTTTTTAAAATATATTTTATTGATTTTTTACAGAGAGGAAGGGAGAGGGATAGAGAGTTAGAAACATCGATGAGAGAGAAACATCGATCAGCTGCCTCCTGCACACCCTCCCCCCTGGGGATGTACCCGCCACCAAGGTACATGCCCTGGACTGGAATTGAACCTGGGACCCTTGAGCCCGTAGGCTGACGCTCTATCCACTGAGCCAAACCGGTTAGGGCTCGGCGTAGATTTTATATCATCGTACAGATGCACAAACAGGAACACAAGCTACCTTTTCTGAGTCTTGCTAAGGGCCAAGGCATTTTAAATAGGTTACACAGGCTGGCTCCTTTAATCCCCACCACAATCTTATACAAAATCCATTACTTCCCCTTGCAGTTGGCAGAACTGTACCTCCCCAATACAAGTTCCAACCCCTGGCACCTGTGAATGTGACCTTATCTGGAAATGTGTCCTTAAGGATCAGACATAAGATCATCCCGGATTTAGGGTAGGCCCCAAATCCAACACCTGGTGTCCTTATGAAAAGGATGGACAGAGCTTTGAGACACACAGACGCAGACACAGGGCAGGAGGCCGCGTGGAGAGTCGTGTGAAGATGGAGGTGGAGGTGGCGGTGATGCTGCCACAAGCCAAGGAATGACGGGGCCACCAGAAGCTGGAAGAGGCAGGAAGGGCCCTCCCCTGGGGCCTTCGAGGGAGCCCGGCCCTGCCCACTCCTTGGTTTCCGACTTCTGGCCCCCAGAACGGCGAGATAACAAATATCTGTTGTTTCAAAGGACAGCTCTCAGGAACAAATACACCCATTTTACAGAAATATTTACTTACCATCAAGAGGTAAGTAACTCACAGCCATACAGGCAATGGCCAGGCAGAACCTGGAAGCTCAGTTTGTTAGAACCCAAAGCCTGTTGTCTCAGTCAACCAGTAGGACCGGGTGAGGCTGGGCAACCGTGGGAGAGGCCCCTGCATCTCCCCTCCTGAGGACACCTGTGAGAGAGCTGAGGGCCACAGGGGTCACTGGACTTGTTACACCGATGTGACCTGGTACCTTCTCAGTTGCCCAGAACTGGTCAGCCCGTTAGATGGGGTGACCAACTGTCCAGGTGCCAAGGCATTTCCTGGAACACAGGACTGTCCGTGCTAAAAGCGGGGCCGTTCTGGGCAGCCGGTCACCGTCCCTCACGAGGACACGAGGAGGAACAGGACCGTAGGCACAGTCCATCGGAAAATTCCAGAGAGCCCAGCTGGGGAGGAGGCCAGGGCCTCAGCACTGTGTCCAGTCTGGTCCAGATGCATTTGGTGGATGTTAGCTGAGTGCTCCCTGCACACTGGGCCCCGTCCGGGGAGACTTGGCCTAAGTTGTATCTCTCACTTATCAGAGCCCAGTGATCAGCCACCGTCAACCACATATCTTAAAAGCCCAAGCACTTGTACTGGCCCCGTCGGCCAGACACACGTGGACAATGGGCCAGAGCAGGGCCAGGAACTAGGACTCTGGCTCCCGTGCCAGGCCCGTCTCTGCACCACTTACCACACCACTTACCGCTGTAGCCTGGGGTGACGGGCAGCTGCCTCATGAAGACCTGGGGCGAGTCCATGGCATTGCACTCGGCTAACAAAGGGAAGACGGGATAGAATTCGCACCCATCGTCCCTGCGTTAAGAACTCACGTCCAGGGAGCTGGAGCCTTGGGCGTAGAGTGAGCTTGCCAGGGGGCGGGGAAGGAGAGGCAGCTCCGCCAACGTAACCAGGACTCGGACGTGAGCTCAGATAACAGGTGTGCGGACCTCCACCCACCGGTGTCCCTGCTGGAGGACCTGAGGGGGGCAGGGTGAGGCGCACTCACCCCAGAGCCTCTCTTCATCCAGGGGGAATCAGGTCCCCACCCCCACCCCCTCAGGACACCTGGCAGGGTCTGGAGACATTTGGGGTTGTCATGACTGGGGGATGGGGTGCTACTGGTTCTAGGATGCTGCTCCACATCCTGCAAGTCACAGGGCGTTGTTCCCACAGCAAAGCAACAGAGCTTGTCTGGCTGAAGGGGTCGGAAATCCCCAGAGGCTGGCGTGGTGTCCAGGGTGGGTGAGAGAGGGAGGTGGGGACCCTGAGCATCAGTTCCTGTGGGTGCCATCCCACAGCCAGGCCCCTTCCCTCCGCAGGGATGGCCTGCGGGCGCCTCTGAGATGGGCAGGTCCAGCAGCGCGAGTGGATGCTGCCAGGCCCACCCACCAAGCCAGGTCATCTCTTAAAAGGGATGCCCTCCCTCCTGGGCCAGTTTGGCTCAGTGGTTGGAGCATGGGCCCCTCGGACTGAAGGATCCTGGGTTCCTTCCGGTGGGAGGTGGGGCACTTACCGTGGTGGCAGGTGGGATGCCCAACTCCAGTTGGGGTGAATGTTGGAGGCAAGTAATCCATGTCCCTCCCTCACATGGATGTTCCTCCCTCTCTGACTCTCCCCTCCCTTCCACTCCGTCTAAAATCAATGGGAAAAAACATGTTTTTTTAAAAAAAGTGATGCCCTCCGACTGGGACACGTGGCCTCGGAGTGAGGGGAGGGTCGCGGTGTCAGGTTTAGTGGGCAAGGATGGGAACCTAATCTAAACGGTTCAGACATTTACAGGCCGCTTGCTAGGGGACCGCGGGGCTGCATTCTGGTAAAATCCTCACAGTCACACTAAAGGGTCCCCATTGGACGGAGGGTGGGTGGGCGGCACAGAGGCTGGATAATTGTGTGAGGGCTGTCGCATCCAGGGGAGGGTGCGGGACGATCTCTAAACTCCGAGGGGCAGAGTTCTGTTGCCCAAAAGTAAGCCGCTGGGGAGGGAGCAGCGCCCAGCGCGGAAGGTGGTGGGCTGGGAGGCCTGCCTGGAGGAGGGGGCAGGGAGGAGCTTGGAGAGGAGATGTGCGAGGGGGGCGGGGCCTGAACGCTGGGACACCGGGGCCCACCTCCCGTTTTGGAGCCCCTCCCGAGTCGCCCACCTGGGCAGGC